ATAATAGTGTACTACAAAGTGCACTGATGCCAGTTTCTACCAACTTTGGTTAACTTAACTGGCTGGTTATTCCAATGGAATTAACTAAATATATCTGTCAATTCTGACTAACTGTGATTGGTTAATTCTCTTAGAATAACCAGCCGATTTAGTTAACCAAAGTTGGTAGAAATGACCATGAGAGAAAGAAATTGATTGATCTAACACGAGAGTGACAGTAGCAATATGCATATAAGGTTATTATTATCAATATTCTAATAGAGCTTAACTAAGACCTTACTGTCGTCAGGTTAGCCTCTTTAGAAGCTACAAGTGACATTTTGTGCGTTTCTTACTATTTAAAGGCATGAAATAGGATTTCAGTTTCCATGGGTATTACACTGATCCTTCAGGATGTATAGATGTTAGAAAGTTCAGGTAGAAAGTGGAGCCGAAATTTCGTCTTGGGATGTTTCACGCGTCTGTAAAAATGTCTTCACACAGTAGAAAGGTGCTTCTGTTACAAAAACGCTCCGTTGAGAGCACATTATTATTCATGTGTACGGTAAGTCACGTCGCTACTGCGCGATTACACAGCGAAATTCCCGTCTCAGTTTACTTTCTTTCGCGTTTCGTGCCGCTGCACTTTCCACACGTGCAATGGCGAGTGATGTATCCGAGTTGCTATTCAAATGCACGTTTGTACATACACTTCTTGCCGGAGATATGACGAAACGTTACTACGTGAGAAATCTCAAGTACACGACGAGTATCCACGGATGTTCGTCGCAACAATACGTGAGAAATTATGATCTGCTTGCTGAATAGACTGAAATGGATTTCCTGCAGCGACAATGGAGTCCTATTTCGCAATGTTTCCCGAATCTTTCGCTACCCGAGTCGGAATTTTAGCCCTACATTCGATCTGAGCTTTCTAACACCTCTACATTTTGAAGGATCAGTGTATCTAATATATACTGAAACTGAAACCCTACGCCTCTAAGGGTTGTTTCAACTTCTTGTTAAATTAAATGATAATTAAATCATATGTCTGTCTAAATTGAAAGAAAAAAAAAGACAGACATATGATTTAACTATCAATTAACTTACCAAGAAGTTGAAATAATAGGTCCTAAATGGCTGAAAACGCACAAAATGCTATCTATAAGTTCCAAAGAAGACATTTTGATAAGGTTAATAGGTAAAGTAGGATCAAAAGAAGTTGATGTGAATTCCAGAATATCAAAGTTAAACGGAATATTGAGATCGAAAGTAGTTAAAATGTCAACTCGGGTAGCCCTTACATTCGTAACGACAACTTGTACTCGTTACGTAACACGCCGACTATTAATTAAAAGTTGCAACTGTTTGACGGAATGTCAAGCGTTGTGCTATAAAATGGAATTCGATACGCACACAGCCGTGTGTGCAAAGAATTTATGTCGTTTGCAAGAAGAACTAGCATACAATGGAAAACACGAGCGATTAAACGACACGAGATTACGCGACGGGCTATCATGTCACATCGAAAACAACAAGGCGCGTTCATTTATTCTTGTTGCACGCACGGCCGGTGAAATGTAGGTATTTCCGCGAGTGGGTCGTTACAGGTTGAAGTATAAATGACCCACTGATTACAAGTACTTGCCGTGCAGGTACAACGAATGGTCGTATTTTTATCTGACGGAGAAAACAACCAACTAACTGACACCTTTTCTTCCTTTGGGCGGGAGTACGACAGGTTACATCGTTATAACACGCGATACGAGCCGCGAGAGATCGTTCGTTTCATTCCTTCAATTCGGGGAGTTCTCGCTTAATGTTCCTTCCGGCGTTACAGCGAATTTCGCTTCGCGTGACGCCACGTACGAATTAATATTTACATAGTACTTTGAAGAATGCGATGGATAGCACGCAACGGATAGCACGCAATGAATAACGCAACGGTCGATTTACCGTGGTAATATCAGAACCGTAATCGTCCACGAACAACTAATATTAACGCGCAAGTGGACGCAAGTGGGGGTCGATCCAGACGCAGAAACATAAATGTTTCTCTAACGAGAAATGTGAAGTAAAATATTCTTTAAGTATAGCCTGTAAACCGGTGATGCTTAAATATTATTATTTTCTGCTTGAAACGTGGTTTACAACTGCTTGTGTACACGCAGAGAATTTTTCTTGAATAATATAGCATACTAATAATATCATTTACCAAACTTGTATTGCGCGACGTATGTATGTCCGAGATGTATGCATGTTCAAGCGAAAATTTATGTATGTTAATAAGAAACCAATAATTTCATCAGATATATCTTATAATTAAAGGTATACCAATTTTCATATTGATAAGAAAATATTAAAAAAATAAAAAAAAACATTGATATAGGTAGGTACTAATATATTTGCTTAAATCTAGATTCTTTTATTTAAATAAAATAAATGTTTACTTTTATGAAAAACTATGGTTCTAGGAAAATGTATATTTTTTTATTTAGGAAATATTTTATATATTGGTATAAGTATAAATATGCACTGAGAGAAATTATCTGATAAAAAATTAACAAACGGATATTTCCGATCAAAATACTGATCAATTTTTATATCCGATTAAATTTAATCGAATGTTTCTGATAATGGCATTTTATCAGATAAATCTATCAAAAAATTATAAATCAATATTTCTGATCGGATACAAAAATTCATCGGTATTTTGATCGGAAATATCCGTTTGTTAATTTCTTATCGAATAATTCCTTTCAGTGTGTTATTAGTACTTACCAAATAAGTATTTTTTATCTCTTAAACGTTTTTTCTCTCAGTGTAAATAAAAATGAAATATTACACATGGAAAAAAGGGTTTGGATTAATCAAATTTCTGGTGAAATGTGAACGAACCGGAAATTCCGGTTGGAGTTCCCAGAATCCTGTCCAAGTTAATAAGATTTTGCTGAAAATTTGGTTAATCCGACTATTTTCTCTCTATATGTGTGCAAGAGTCACGTGTCTATGGAAGGGTGAATTGCGCGGTGATTCGAAGTCGCAAGTGTAACATGCCGGGAGCTTGATCTTTCGCGATTCTCCTGTTCGATTAACGATTATAATTATTCGGTTGGAAGACGCAGCGAACCGATCGACGGATTTAACGACGACTACGACTCGCGTATTCCACACGCGAGACGAGGCATTCGCGCCGCTGCGTCGGCACCAGCGGTGTGTGGTTGTAGCCAATTTGCGTACCTCTATAAATACAGGTACCGACGCTGCGGCGCGTTGCTGCGCGTCGGGGAAATGTTCCTAGGTGTTCGGTATACCGGGCTGTATGCCCGTACTATACATAATGCATGAGTCGGTGCGCATCTCGGCCTTCTGCGAGGAGAAAGAGAGAGGAGTCCCACTGGACCATCCTTCCGTCGGGTCCTTCTCTGCTTTCTTCCTTCCTGCCGTCGCTCGAGCCGTCGCGGCGGATCCGCTAATTAAGGAGCGAGAAATACTCGACGTTTCGAATTCCCGAGTAGGGAGGCGCGATAAACGGCGCGTTTTCTAGTCGGCGAAATATGGTAAAAGCTTCGCGATCGGCATCGCCGGAGGTGGCCGAAAGGCGCGGCGCGGTCGCTTGTTTTTCGCCAATGATTAAGCACCGATAATGATGCGAATGAGCATTCGCGTAATACGCCGAGCCGAGGCTCAACCACCGCCGTCGACCGTGCTGTCTCGTACGAGGAAGATAAATTTCGAGAAGAAGGTAATGAGGCTTCTTGCTGGCAGATACGTCTTATATAGGGACATACTTCTTACGGCGATCAGCGAGCGTGTAGGCACCAGGCGTGCGGAAAGAATTCCAAACGGTACCGCGCGTAATGGGTGTATGAATATACAGCACGTTTGCGAAAATTTATCGCTCGCGTCTCGCTAATGTTTACGACTCCCCGACTCCCGACCAGAATGATCGGTCGTTTTCGATACGATCAACGATATCTACACTAAAATAGCAATATGGATAAAAGGAGTTGTTATCCTTTGTCCGCAGCCAAATAAATAAATAAATTTTACCAATCGGAAAAGAATATTTCAATAAATGTTGAGAGCAAATATTATGTCTGCGAACTCATTAGGATTCTAGAAATTTGAGGTTCTGTTCATTGTCCTATATGTTCAGTGTCTTTGACTTGATCACTTTGAAGGTCTTTACGGGACTATTCTAGAAGTAGGATCATTCTAGAAGTATCAAAATGATAATTAAAATTTCAACCGGGGTAATTATGTATCCGGGTAATTATCTACTGGTGTGATATACTGGTGTGAAATAATTTCACACCAGTATATCACACCAGTAGATAATACTGTATTGAATTTGAAAACTTCTCCACTTGTCACTTCGCAAGTTATATTTGGATTTCCGAATTCCGATATGTATACCATAGTCAATGTCAGTGCTTCAAAGTCACTGCCTTCTAGATGAATTGCACGTGAATTGCTGAGAATAAATTTTAATTATCATTTTAGTATTTCTAAAATTTTAGTATTTCCAAGACAATCTTGCAAAAGCCTCCAAAATAATCAAGTAAAGATATCGGGTATAATATGGACTATTTTTGTTAGTACAACAAAAAGATATAGTTGGTTCTGGAAATAACAATAGTTTTCGGTGAGGTCAAGGCATTTTTTCTCGCAGTATGTAACATGTTTAATTTTAAATTTCATACTTATATTTGCGACTATGCAGAACTAGAACAATCTCTGAAACTCTCATGGAGGCATAATTTGAATTGAGATGACCATAAAAGTTCCTATACTATTTTGCAATATTCGCATTAATTATCGAGATATTAATTAAAGAAGATTTGTAAATGATCACGCGAGATATGGTAGATAAAGTGGCGACATCTATCATCGTGTGCTTGTACATTAAATCAAACTGAACAGAATTTCGAAGGTTGTTCTGGGACACTCTGTATAACTCTTACTGCCTTTTCTCTATATTAAATTTAATTTATATATTATATTGTTTTATTTTTAAGATCTTCGAGGAGTCTGAGGAGACCTAGCTTCGCCTCGCTGCTTCAAGACCGAGTGAGTGTAATTGTAACATATTTCAATTACTGTTATACTAGGCGTTGGATGCAATTTTAGTAACAACACGCCTTCGTTATTTCGCCTACGTGCGTTGTACGGGCCGCGAGCTATTACGACCTTAAACGCAGGATAATTTTCATCCACGCTAAGACCTAAGCGCGCGCGCGATCTTTCACGCAACGAATGGGGTGTAAACTGTAAATACTCGGCCATTTTTACTCCCCGTCCAACAGAATCCCGCTGTTAAGAACCCAGAACAAGGTCTCTCGCGCGCGTACGCGGGCTTCGCCTTTCTCGTCGTCGTCGTCGTCGTCGTCGTCGTCGTTGTCGTCGTAGGTACTCCGAGGTCGCGAGGGCATCCTATCGCGTAAATCCGCGCACTAAGAATTTCCAAACGAAGCTACGTCGCGATGCATGCATATGCATGCGCGCCTACTGCGTGTACGCCAACGCCGGTAGACATCGGGTAGAAAGTAACTGCCAATTAGCGGGAGTCCCCAAGGGAGGAAACTTGAGTACTGGAGTCGGCCGTGCCGCACATTTTGCCGGTGACTCACTTTCCATTGTGTCTCTCTCTCTCTCTCTCTCTCGATCCCTCTCTCTTTCTTTTGCAGTCAATAATTTCCCAAACTAGAGTCCCTCCCGTCTTCTGACCGGGAAACACGACAGCTGACAATGTGCGAACGCAGGGATAAAATACGGCTGCGGTTTCGAGGCTTCCGTTTGAAAGCACGCGCGGGTTTTCTAGAGAACGACAGATGCGTGAAAAATTTCGGATTAGGGCACTGTTGGTTTTTCAGGGTCGTCATGGTTGTAGCCACGTGTAATTGAAAATTTGCGTCTGCACACATTTTTTTTGTCTTTAAGTAATACATATTCTTTTTCCTTTTTCTTTTTATACTGTGAGAGAAAAATAGTTAAGGAATAAAAAAATATTTATTTACTGGATACTAATAATACATATTTACTTATACTAATATAAAATATTGTTCAAACAAGAAAATATAAATTTCCTTAAAATCTTTTCTTTTTTATATATTTTTTTACATATTTATTCTTCTACTATAAAATAATAATTTATGTAAAAACTATATTGTGAGAAAAAAATGTTTGCACTGAAAGAAATTATCCGATAAAAAATTAACAAATAGATATTTCCGAAATACCGATAAATTTTTATATGCGATCAGGATATTCGATTAAATCTAATCGAATACTTTCGATTATAATGATATTTCATCAGATAAACCGATAAAAAAATTATGAATCGATATTTCCTATCGGATGTTTCCTGATTGGATCAAAAATTCATTTTTGTTCATTATTTTAATCGGTAATATACGTTTGTTCATTTATTATTGAATAATTTCTCCCAGTGTGATATTCGTAATTATAATAACATTCAGAAATAATTGTTATTAATTATGATCGAGAAAGTCGTTCTTTAAATTAAATCCTACTATAATGTTAGTGATAATAACCTTATATATATGTTAATCCCGCCATTTCCATGTTAAAATAACCAAAAATATGGTTGAGGTCGAAAATAACTTCATGATTTTAGTTAGATCAACCATTTTTTTTCTCTCTCAGTGTGATGTCTCAGTGGGTTTTGGACATTAAGTTACCCAGTCAGCGGGACTTCGTTCTCGGGACCGGAAAGATCCGGGAGAAGACCGCTCCAGACCGACGCGAGGATCTTGATCTTGCGATTTACGACGGTTGAGGTCGCGACGGCTCTTAATGAGATACGATACGCGTGGTCGAGAGCGAACGCGTATACTAGCCCCGACTGCAATTAGATAAGCAGGTGATTCGTGTATTCTCCGCGGCAGCGATCGCTCGCGCCGGGCGATAGATATTAGCGCTTGTATTTCCGTCTCGCCTGACTCTCCCGTGTCAACCTGATGCGAGAGTTACCCTATCGGCGAACATATTTCTCGACGATCATGCAGAAATCCGGTTCTTACGGTAATCGAATCGAATGACAGGAGTAGGTAAACCGTGCAACGAGTTTCTATGGCGCAGGTGCATCGTGGTTATGCGTGTGCGCGCCAACAGATAAATAATTTATGAAAGTTACTATCGACGAAAGCGAATTACGCGTTTCACTGATATTTCTACTTTCGCCGCCGTGACCCGATCTCACCGGCGCCGATATTAACAATTATTTTCCTCTTATTGTGCCAATTCGATTGCTTCCGGGGGCTGCTTAATTGATCGCATACGCATGTACAAGTTGCGAAAATTACCTCCTTTCACATTTGTAACCCGTACGATAGATGAAAGTGGTATCGGCTCTCTAAAGTACACTCAGAGTATTTTTCATTGAAATTTGCTTATAACTGATGGTTCAGCTATAAGTATAGTATTGCAGTCAATGAAATCTCGCTAAAAGGATCAGTTAATAAGACTGTTCTCGTTATTAATGCGATTTGCATCATAATATAGACAGTGTCATCTCACGTAAGACATATGCAAGCACATGAAAGCCATTAATTCACTACGAACACAGAGAGTTAAATTTGGTACAGCGTATAACGAATTTGTATACTACAGACTTTAAAGTGAAATCTTAATTCAACACGGAAATGAAGAGAAACGGTTGGATTAACCAAATTTCTCATGAAATATGTACGAACCAGGAAATTCCGGTTGGAGATACCAGAATCCTGTTTAAGTTAATCAGAGAAATGTTGTTAAACTGAACAAAATTCTCGTAACTCCAATCAAAATTTCTAATAAAAATTAGTGAGATATAAGACACAGTAGCAAAGTGGAAGTGTTTTCACTGAAAATTAGTGAATACTCATTATACTCACTGATTATTCCTTTTACTGATTCAATCAGAATTTTTACTGATCCGTTTTAATAGAAATTTATATTAATGACGCGTTGAATCGAATCGCAATTCGCCGTTTATTTTCTAAAATATAAATTGTTCTAAAGTAGAAATATAAATACCACACTGAGAGAAAAATGTTTGGTATTAGTAACTATAATTATTATAAATTATGATGAAGGCAACCATTTTTTAGTCAATTCTACTCTAATTTTTGTGATAATGTTATATGCATATTACTACTATCTTCGTATTGGAACAACCAAAAAATATGGTTTAGCCCTTAATTTTACCTTAACCTAATATTTTTTGTTGTTCCAATACAAAGATAGTAGTAATAATAACATGCATATAACATTATTATTACTAACAATTGTAGTACAATTGATTAAAAAATGTTTATCTTGACCATAATTTATAGTAATTATTTCTTTGTATAATTATAGTTGCAAATACCAAACATTCTTCTCTGTGCAGTTCCCGGACATGTATTTGATTCTGGATATTGTTATTGTTTTTTGTCTCTAAATACGAATATTTAAATTTTTAACGTAGAATACACTGTTAAATATTGGAGGGTCAAATTTAAACCAATTTCTTGAGTTAAATAATATTTAGTTATTTTTACCTATCATGCGTGTCAAAATTTACTATTTTAACACAAAACATGTGTTTAAAACAACATACATGTTTAAAAAAACAACCTCATCTAATCAACCCATTTAAAACAATATTAAGTCATTTTTTTACGAAAACAAAGGTTACATTAACGTGCACATAATAAAAAATAAACTAAATTTTAGTCAAATTTAATACATTTCTTAAGTTAAATTATTTAACTCCATTACATTAGTTAAATTAACGACATATTTAGTAGGAGCAGTGGCGACTTATAGGAATGGTTAAAAATAACTCAAATTGAGTATAATTTGACACTACAACAGTGTATATGTATATATTTAATACATGTATATCTTTCTCTCTCTCTCTCTATCTCTCTCTTCTATGTCAGAAATTTAAATATAATATTCATATTTAAAGATCAAAACGATATAAATGTTCAGGATTAGGTCCGGGCATTGATACTTTTATCTTACTCGCTTCAACAATGTCTCTTCAAAAGTTACTGCTACTTCGTCGCACCGTAAACACGAGGGAAAGCGATGTGCGAGTTTGGTTAACGTCGACCGCTAGATCTCTCACGATCATCTTCATAAGATACTGCCTTTCCTACCCCTCTTCTCCCTAACGATCGGCGTAATCTGTCCGAATTATAAACGTCGCCATAATTCAGTCGACCGACGTTTGAAAAACAAAGTTCGAGTTGGGGTAATATCGGTAACAGCTGGTCCATGCGCCTCTCTTTCCATCGTTAAGTCCGACGCACCCTCGGAAACCTCTATTCGCGATGGACGATAGCCCGCTCCCGTACGGCCGGGCCACGCACATGCGAAGCCTGCAGGTGCGCGAGCGCACGTATACACGTATACGCACGATAACGACGTTCCTGAACGCAGATCGCGACGTAGATTTATCTGGCGCGAAGACCCCTGACGCTGTTCCCTCGCGCCACCAGCTCCTCCCCTTTGATAATCGCGAGAGGGCCTCTCGCTTCCCTCTCCCCCACCCCTTACAGTCTACCCCCTGTCTGAATTCCAAATGCGGCGAGACACCATGGACGAGGAGAACGTGGGAGGAAGAGAGAGGAGAGAGAGAAGAAGATGAAGTATAACCGTATGTGGGAAAGGGGCGAAGGGTGTTAGGCCGCGATTCGGATCGGAATTCGGAGCACGTTCGCGTCCGATGGCGCCCGTCGGTGCGATTATGGTTACTGTGAGTTTGGAGGAAAATAGCGGAAACTCCGAATAAACTTCGATATCATACATGCCCGTTATACTAGAATTACGTTAGAAAGATAAATTTGAATTTTCTACTTCCGCACGTTGTTGTTTTTTATTTTTTTTATTTTTGCCCGCAGCTTATACTTTGTGAATAAACTTTTTAACCCGGAAAAGCAAGGAAAGCCAAAAAATTACCGAGCTCGGTCTAGCTATAGCGACCATAGGCAGATTTACATATTCGTGTCAGATGCCCCACGGACTCCACGTCTTCGGGCATCGGATATTAGGAATCCGTGTATGTGTATTCTAGGTGT